AATAAGGGAAACCATGGGACCTATGTTTCTTTGGGCCTGGCTTACTTCACTTAATATAATTTTTTGCAAGTCTTTCCATTTCCTAACAAATGGGGCAATGTCATTCTTTCCAACTTCTCATTTTTAATATAAACTTTCACTACCCACTGTATTCTAGGGCTGAGAAGGCCATTGGTCTCAAATATTTCAAATAACTGATTTTGAATAAAGTTTTAGGGATCATTCTATTTTATATTATGTCAAAAATGTAAGCTCTGTCATTTGGTGAGATAAACCTATTTCCCTGACTGAAGGGTATCAGAAAATTAGATATTTAGGTCAAGGGTTAAGGGCACAGAATGGAACCAGGTATAGATTATAGGAATTTGTAGCTGGCAAAAACGAAGGCCTAAAACTTCTAACTTTACTATGTGTATACTAGATATGATATAAGCATTGTATGGTGAATTGAATTGATATAGTGCTTTTAAGTATACAATTAATTTGAAGTATTTAACTTTTAATAATAATCCCTTATAAATACTGCTTGTGATGTTACCTATATAAATAAACCTGAGCTGCACAAAACTGTATGAGCAATTATATCTTGTTTTAATTCCAAGTGTAATTTAATCCAACACAATTAGTTATGACACAAGATACAGATCATCTTACTGATGAAATTACCAGTTTCATTTTATTGAGTAGACAATCACATTTATTATCAGAAATCTGAGGCAGAATAACTCTAGATCATAATATTCCTGGACAGAGTTAAAGCTGATCACTCCCCAGATAATCTCCACTATTCCCCTAATCATGAGCTTCTTAGAGGCAAAGAACCTGAGTATTTCTATACTTCTAGTATCCAGTAGTGACTAGCCCATAAGGAGGTGATCAGTAAATATATAGTAAACTGAACGAACACCCAGCTTCATTTTCTATAACTAATCTCTCCCTAAATCTTTGTTTAGACCATTTTCTGTTGTAAAAGCTCAACAACTGCATTTGGGCTTTTCCATGTTACATTCCATGTTCGTTACTGGTAGATACACACCCAAAAACCAATCCTCAAATTGGTTTCAAAGAGATTAAGCTCAAGGCTGTTTCTAGGTATGAGATTAAGACTATCCAGTAAATGATTTCCTTACCCTTGCAGCAAAAAGATAAAACCCTGGGCAAAATACAAAAAGTAACTCCCTGAAGTTATTGGAAAGAAGACAGAACCATCAATCTGGTAGGGAGTTCAGATTCATGGCTCCCTCTCTATCCTTTCTCCAAGGGCAAATACCCTGAGACCTATACTCAGAAGCCAGCAGTGGAAAGATCCTTAGATTCTCTGGCCTAAGGGAAAGTGAAATCAATAAACCAGGACTGGAAGAGAATGAGATAAAACCCAAAGGGAAAAAGTCATAGAGTGGATCTGCAAACTGTCTGATTACACCTGTGACTGATCACTAAAGCACCATGCAGGAAAAAGACTCCAAATAGCCAGCCAAGGACAAAAAGACCAGAGCGACAGCGAGCTCCCACTCCAACAAAACAAGAATGTGAGGACAAGCATACAGGCCTTGGGGGGCTTTCAGCTGCTTGGAAGAGACCCGGAGCTGTACAAGTAAACTACCATCACTGTGGCTTTTAGCCTGGGCCTAAATTACAGCCTGTATAGCAAACACAGCAGGTTCACGGCTTACATGGAAAAAGCAGCAATTTTTTGGCTGGGGAACTGAAAAGAGAAGCCAGGAAACATGAACAGTTAAGAGATTGAGGACAGGGGGACCTCTTACACAGAAAGTGAGCAAAGGAAGGACTCAAAAGCTCCGCATGTTCTTATCTGCCTGTGAACTCTGAACCATGCGTGTGGATCAGAATTGTAAACGGTAACCTAAAAGATACTTTTCCTGGGCCCTGTGAATTAACTACAAGTTCCCCAACTTTGTACCTTTGCCCTTGGATCTGAGCTATTCTCTGCTACCATCACCTTATAATCATCTCAGGCTTCAAGAAAGAGAAGACTTGCTGATAAGTATCCTGTGTGGAACGCCCCTCAAACAGGCAATACCTTCTTACCATCTTAAAAGAAACAACTCAAAACCTAAGAGGTCACCAGCCACCCTGTCCCAAAGTAAAGTGGTAACAGCTTTTCCGAAACTCCTCTGGAGACAGAGACTGAGCTGATGACTAACCAAGTCACACAACTTGACCTGGGGCTTTAGATTTACATATCTTTCTCAATCCCTGTTCCCAATTTACCCTGTTTAACCTAAAGCTAAAGTTTGTATCTCAAAATATGGCTGAAGATGCCTGAAGCGCTGTCTTCCCATGGCTGCCATACAATAAATCTTTCTCTGTCGATTACCATGTCTCTTAATTTAACATACAGGAGACAGTAGCTGAACCTAACATGGGACTCCTGAATTTGGGGCCTGGTTCTAAAAACCTATTTCATAGCCCAAAACACCAAATAAAAACAAATGAGCTGAGAAGTGACTATAGTTGCCACATGGGCAGTTGAAAAAAAAAAAATCCCCTGATGAAGAGTCCAGTCTGTGTCTCTAATCATATAAAATAATATTTATTAAAATGAAAAAAAAAAGAGGCTAGGTGTGGTGGTTCACATCTGTAACCCCAGAAACTAGGGAGAAGGTAGGAGGATTTGAACAAAAAGTACAAAGCTCTATCCAAAAAATAAAGCTATGTACTTAGGAGATGGAGACCAGCTTGTGCAAGAAATGAGTAAGGCCCCATACCCCATTCCCAAACAATAAGCTGGATGTGGTGGGCTTTGTTTGTCATCTCAGTTCTATGTGGGCAGTATAGATAAAAGGTTCACAGTCCAGGGTGGCCTGGGTAAAAAATGCAAGGTCCTACCTGAAAAGAAAAATAATGAAAACAGAAAAGGACTGGGGCATGGCCCAAGTGGTAGAGCACCTACAAAATGTGAGGCTCTGACTTCAAACTCCAGTACTAAAAAAAAAAAAAAAAAGTCCATGATAAAACAAAGGAAAAAATAGGCAAGAAAAGTAACAAAATACTAGAACAAATACAAAATAACCCAACACACAAAGAACTGAAGAGAAAAAACTTGAGACAAAAGAAAATTGAACAAGTCCAATCCTCAGATGAACAAAATGTTAGAACAGATGACAGTTTTAAAAGAATTATTATAATTATCCTCAATAAAGTAAAACAAGACATATTTCAATGCATAAAAATTTCAACAGATAAATTAAGAGTTGCAGCAGACAACAGAACCAATAAAAAAAAGAACTAAATTAGACTGTTACAAATAAAAAAATGTTGAGTGGATTTAACAACTGAACTGACATGAAAGAAAAAATCAAGTGAACTTAAAGGTAGGGTAACAGAAATCACCTAACCTGGAAGACAAAAAGGGTTTTTTTTTGCTTTGTTTTGTTTTTTGAAGTCCAAATAAAACCCCTAAAATCAAACAGGTCAAACCCTGAACTAGTAGTGTTCCAAAAGTCTTACTCCACAAAGGTAATGAAAATATAGGCAAAATTCAACTTTTTCAAGACTCCTGAACAACTGAAGATGGGCCATAATCTGAGAAACGTTTCTGTAAGTAAAATGTCTGAATCTCAGTAAGAACAGTAAGCTTTGCAGTGAATAACTTTACCTACTACCACTTTCCCCTATTTCCTAGCATCATTAACAAAGCTGAATGCTGGTGACTAATGCTTATAATCCTAGCTAGTTAGGAGGATGAGATCTGAGGGTTGTGGTTCAAAGCAGCTGGAACAGGAAAGTCAGTGAGACTCTTACCTCCAATTAACCACCAAAAAGCTAGATGTGGAGCTGTGGCTTAACTGGTAGAGGATTAGCCTTGAGCACAAAAGCTCAAGTACAATGCCCATACCCTGAGTTCAAGGCACACACACAAAAAGCTTCTAAAACCAGTAATAGCCTCTCAATATTCACAACTGTGAAAACCAACAACCTAGTGCACCTCTGAGAGGAAAAAGCCCTTGACACATTCAAGATGCACTGTATTTGAAGGAATGGAACCCCCCACCCCAGCGTATTGTCCCAGGTCCATACAGACATGAGGCAAAATCCCACGTATGTGTGAACTTTGATGTTCTGGCAGGGCAATCCACCTAAGTCCACGTAAAGATCCCATTGTGGGCCCAATTGAAAGGATCCCACCTCCCTTGCTTGACCTAGTGGCTTTTTCATTAACCTCTGCCTCCTTGCTCAGACCTTCTATAAAAACCCAGCTCCTGTCCCAACTCCATGGCACAACCTCCAAACACCATGAAGGTCTCTGCCCCTTGCTGTTCCTCAATAAACAGTCCTCACCTACTGATGATCAAGTCTGGTCTTTTCCTTTTCCGTTCTCCATTTTTCCCAACAATACTCATAAACTGACATATTGAATTGAAAACACTTTGTACAACTATTTAAAGATAATAAAAATGAATGTTCCATCCTAAGAGAATTGTCATCACATAGCAGCTCATTTGTAGCTGCATTTTCAGGAAAAGTACTGATAAAATCAAAGGGGAAAAATAGTAGAGAAAAAGAACAAAAGCCATATGTTCTTTTTCTTCCTGATTCAGAACAGTGCTACTACCTTCAGGGCACCTGAGAATAGTTAGAACTACTCTTTAACATACAGTTGCCTGAGACAGGGTTAACAATTGGGACTAGTAAGAAGCTCTTCAAAAAATGTAAAAGAAGCCTGGCGCTAGTGGCTCACGCCTATAATCCTAGCTACTCAGGAGGCTGAGATATGAGGATTGCGGTTCAAAGCCAGCCCAGGCAGGAAAGTCCATGAAACTCTTATCTCCAATAAACCACCAATAAGCCAGAAGTGGCTCTGTAGTTCGAGCGGAAGAGTGCTCACCTTGAGCTGAAGAGCTGAGAAACAGCGCCCAGGCCCAGAGTTCAAGCCCCATGACCAACCAAAAAGAGAAAAAAGAAAGTAAAAGAATAAGATGAAGAATGGATCTATGTCTTGTTTTTTAAAAAGCTTCAATGTATTCTTGGAATTTTAGAAGGATTTGCACAAGTGTAGAATTAGATAGTTATCCAAAGAAGACCAGAAAAAGCCCACTATAACCTATATGGCTGATTTTGAAGCTCTCTCTAAGCAGGAAGTGAAAGCTAAACCAAAACTGCATACTGCCTCTCAGAGAACTGAAAAGTCCAAAATAAAATTAAGTAACAACTGGGTCTCTGGCTTCCTGACCTAAGTGGTATTCTTCTTTTTTTTCTTTTTTTTGGTTGGTCATGGGGCTTGAACTCTGGGCTTGGGTGCTGTCCCCGAGCTCTTCAGCTCAAGGCGAGTACTCTACCACTTGAGCCACAGCGCCACTTCCCTAAGCGGTATTCAATTGCCATTGTGACATTTGCTGTAAGGTCCTCACAAGAGCCCAGCAGAAGCTAACACATAATCTTGGACCCTCAGAATTGAAAACTCTGATTAAGAGCTACTACATAAAACAATTTGCATTGATTTCTATCATGGTACAAACTGGCTCAATGGACTCCCATGTTCGTACACAGAAAATGACAACAGGATAGCTGGTGACATTTTCAGGATGAAGGGTGCCTCAGATAATAATACACAAAGGACACTGTACATAATGGAAGAACTGACAGCAGAAATCAGCAACCTTCTACTCCATGGCTATCTTGGACAAATTGGTAAAAGGGAAAAGTGTCCATGACAGAACTATATCCCATTGCTTATGATACGTCAGAATACTTTATTAGAGATGTGAAATCTTTAACCCTGTTTGCCACCCTCTATTCACCAGTCTGCTAAGTAGAAAAAAAAGTTGGTCATAACAGGTAGAGAATTGCCACATGAGATTCTCGTCAATGAGGATGAAAGCAAGCAGGATCCATGTAAACTCCAGAAGTCCTGATTTTGTTACTTTACCAAATAACCAGAGAATTATAGACTAAATGTAGCAAAACTAGCAGTTGTCTCTGGAAAAAAAATTGAAAGAAAGCAGATCACTAGTCAAAAAAGCTGAAAGAATAAGCAAATATGAAAAGAAAATGACTCTTTTGCAGTTCTGAACCACACATAACACAAAAGACCTGCAAAAGTGGACAGAGGAATTTCAATTGGAAGAAATACAGACTGTTCTTTTTGAAAAATAAAGATTATGTTTTGGGGGCTGGGACTGTGGCTTAGTGGTAGAGTGCTTGCCTAGCACGCATGAAGCCCTGGGTTTGATTCCTCAGTACCTGGGTTCAATTCCTCAGTTAACTAGTTCACTCAAGAACTTTAGAACATCTACATAACTTTTTACTCATGGATATTAGCTTAAGAGCTTGTTTAGCTTGAGGTTACTTTCCTACCAGAATAATGCCTGCTTTGTATTAGAGAAGAAACTTATTTATTCATCACTAATTATGTATAAAATTTACTGCCTTTCCTATTACATCATACTGGATAATAAAAACTGCTTGGGAGATAAACTAGGGGGCCTTTATCCTCTGAGATACAGTGTCCCCTGGTTTCCTGGCTTTGATTCCTAAAACTATCTTTGTGTATGTCTGTTATTCTCGTAAGATGCCATTCCCCCTTCTAGATACATGTTCACCTTGCAGTGCTGGACATGGCACAACTTATCTGTGTGTGACATGTGAGCATAAAATATGGCCATAACAAGCTGGGCACCACTGGCTCATACCTGTAATAATCCTAGCTACTCAGGAGGCTGAGATCTCAGGATCGTGGTTCAAAGCCAGCCAACGTAGAAAAGTCCCCATAAGACTCTTACTCAAATAGCCAGAAGTAGAGCTATGGCGCAAGTGGTAGAGTGCTAGCCTTGAGCACAAAGAGGCTAAGGGACAGTGCCTATGCCCTGAGTTCAAGCCTCAGGCAAAAAAAAAAAAAAAAGCCATGACATATTCCAAACAAAAGCCAAATAGCCTCATGTGAAGACTTTTTCAGGTTCTGTACTCCTAATTTTTCAAAGTAAAAATATTTTTGAGTATTAAGACTTCTACTATGTAATTAAAAAATTTCACAGACAGTAAACTTCTCATAAAACTAAAACCAAAATAATACCTAAAGTGGCAGGATGCAGTTCATGAACTTTGAAAAGTGATAAAAATTTGATTCATGTTTTTCTTTGTTTCAGTTCAGTTCAATCGAAACTGGGTAAATCTGGATGGAATCTACCTTTTCATTTAATCTAATTTTATAACACCACCAGTGTAACTAATTATTGACAAAAGAATTTTTATAAGAAATAGAAAGAATGTCCACGCTTTTAGAAACTGCCACACAAAAGGAATAACATCATATGAAATGTGGAAAGTGTTGTCAGTTTTAAACAACTTAACGACTTTTAGATAAAATTATTTGTCTGTTAAATATTTAATGAGTACTTGCTATAAAAATTAAGCAAAAATTGACAAGATTTTAAATTAGAAATAGACAATGCAACAATAATCTTTAAAGAATTTAATGCCTTACTTTGAGTATTAGATAAAACATCAGCAGAAGATAAACAGGAAATAGAAGATTTGAACAAAACTACAGGACAACTGGACATACTAGAACATTCCACTAAACAGCAGAACATATTCAACACTTTCTTCCCAAGAGTAGACCATATGTTAGCCAATAAATTAAATTTTAATGAATTTAAAAAGCCAGAAATCACAAAGCATGTTTTCTGACTACAACAGAATGAAATTAGAAATCAATAACAGAAAGAAATGTAAGAAATTCACAAACAGGTGGGAATAATGCTTCTAAATAAACAATATCACCAGAGAAATTAGAAGTACAGAGGACAAGAAGAAATTTTTTACTATGAGAAAAAAATACAATTCCTGATATAGTTTGACTATGGTGCTGGTTATATATGATTATCAAAACTCACATGCATACATAAAATTGGTGAATTTTATAATGCTTAAATAATACCTTAAAATATGAAAAAGAGAAAAAAAATAAAGCTTACAAAATTAATACCTGATAGCGTTTTTCCTGCATTCAGAGGAGGAGCAATGACTCTGAAAAGTTTCTGTATTAAAATTAATAGAAAAATAATCACCATCATTTAAAAGTAATAATCTTAAGTTATTAATCATCTTTCTCTGATAAAATCATTTTCTTTTGAGTTTAAATATAAAAACATAATGTATAATGCACTGTTTAGGATTATTAAGGAAAGAAATCATTGTCATATTCATCATTAAAACAAACCATTTAGACAAAGTTAATTGTTCAGATAATTTCTTATATAAGGCATCTCAGATTCTTAAACTACCTTTACTCTTTTTTTTAAACAAAAAATAAGATATTAACATCCCAACAAAGTGGTAATGAAATTACTTTATACTAAAAACATCAAAACATCTGATGGGGTATACAGTTGGAACACAAGAACGTTATCTGACCATAGGCACAGCCTTAAAAAATTATAGATACCATGGATCCCCCAGAGAAACTTTCTTATTTGAAAAAGGACTGATCCACAGCACGAGAAAGTACAAATTTCAGCTGTCTGCATCAGTAAGTCTCCTGTGCATGCCATGAGTCTTAGCTCCTACCAGCTACTCAGGAGGTAGAGGCAAGAAGTTCTCAAAGAGTCTGAGGCTAACCACCAAAGAAAGACACTTATGTCAAAAAGGAAGAAAGACAGAGAAAGAGATAGAGAGAGAGAGACAGATAGAAAGAGAGAGAGAAAATTCTAAAAAAAACTTTGCATACTTTCCTATTATAGCCCTACATCCATTCTCTCTGTTGTTTGTTAAGCTAGCATAGAAATTTTCACTTCTAGCTATTCATAGAGCTGCTCACTAATTAGTGTTCCCATACACATATGTAAAAATCATTTTCTTTTCTTCTGTTACTTTGTATCTTGATGTTCTTTCCCACTGACTCCTCATGGCCTGCCATCATTGAGACCTAAGTTGGTAGAGAAGGTTTTCTTCCCAACTTATATTGGCCCTATTTTTACATTAAAAACATCCAAAACTGCACTAAGGAAGCATTTCAGAAGCTATAATAGTTATTTCAACTGTGATGACACTTTCATTCTGAAAAAGCAAGAAAAAATTCAAAAGGTAGGAACTCTCTTATTAATGTATACCTCTTTAGGTATGAATATAGCTAAACTTCAAACACTGAAAAGTGATTTCCATACAGGCAGAGAATTAAAAGAGAGGAATCATAGGAATCTTCAAAAGACTGTTTAATAATAAATACCAAGCTCCTGCTGAAAGCCATTATACTTGAAAGCTACTCTGAACACAGGCAACCCCAAGAGCCCAGTGTACCATGTGAGATGTACAGGTACAAATGTGAAGCAGACTAGGAGAATAAAATTCACACCCAGCAGAAAATGCAAAAGCAACATAAAAATCCAACAGCCATTTTTGTTAGTATATAATGTATTAAAACGAATCTCTTTGGAGAGATTTCTTTGAGAGCAACTAGAAACTGTACTAATTCTTCCTAACTGTGGTCTTGTTAGAACTTAGAGAAGTATTGCATGCAAGGAAGTACAGAAGCTCATTTCAGAGGCAGCTATCTTTCTCAGGCACCTCAATGAGGAGTCAACTGAGAAGTTTTAAGGGAAAGAATAATTAATACAATCAGGAACAGTATCAGGAGAGAAGACAGCAATGAGACATCCTTAAGAAGTCTGAAATTTCACAGAATAACTGCCAACTTAATCTGAAGACAGTTTGGGATTGCATTAAATTTAAACAAAAAAGGTTGCCTGGATATCATCAGTAGATGCCTGGCTCTTCTGAGGTACATTAGTCACTGTAATAAAGCAGCAAGCAGCTAACAAGTACTGTGTGTACCTTCTCCACAGCCTGATTTCCACAGTGCTTTCTTCCATTTAAGACATATAACAAAATGGACAAAATCAAACCTAAATGCTTTTTGGATTACCTTTGTAAGGATAATTAAAAAAACAAAGTATCACCAATGTTACAAAATTCTGAATTTGGAAAATCAACACATTAACAACTTTACAAATAATAGATGCCTGCTTTTTTCAGGAACCATCCCAGCAGAATTCCAAAACAGAATCACAGAACAGTAATTTATTATATATAGTAATTGTATAAAATGAGCTTCTTAAACCATTTGAAAAAAATTACTATATAAAAAAATTCCTAGCAGAAAAAAATTTAAAGTTTTAAAACAAGTAAACATTAGTTTTACCTACTGTTCCCTGAGATTTAAATATGTACGTGCACAAATAAACAAGAACACCATGAAAGAAGGTATGAAATGAGGGCTGAGAAGGTGGCTCAGTGGTAGAGTGCTTGCCATGCATGCATGAGGCCCTGGGTTCGATTCCTTAGTACCACCTAAGCAGAAAAAACTGGAAGTGGTGCTGTGGCTCAAGTGGTAGAGCCCCTAGCCTTGAGCTGAAGAGCTGAAGGACAGTGCCCAGGCCCAGAGCTCAGGCCCTAAAACCAACCCTCACCCCCCCAAAAGAAGATATGAAATGAAAGTCTAGTGAGGATTAGTGGTAGAAAATATGCTTAGCACAAAAGAAGAAAGACCCAAGTAATAAAAGTTCAATCCCAGTAATAAAAGACAATAAAGACAACCTGAGAGTACAAGTTAAATTGGTATAAGTCTAATAAATAAGAAATTTTAAATGATTGGATAAAACATACTATTCAAAGCAAATTGAGACTAGGGAAAAACTAATATACAACACTAAATATGTCCTACATTTAGAAAGTACTTACCTCCATGGGACTAATAAATTCATTCATGCCTCTGTTGTAGACATAGATCATAGCATCATAGAGACGATTTTCCCAGCACATGAGAACTATCTATACAAAGGAAAAGTTCATACAATTTAGTTTATTTCACCAATTATTTTCCTTAAAGCTTTAAGAATGAAGATCTTAAATTCTTTTCCCTTTTTATACCTTCTCTGATAAACACTGAAATTTAAATACTCAAGCACAATGGCTGGATAAGTATTAACATAGGTTCAATTTTGCTTTAAATTGTACAATGGTGTGTGTGTGTGTGTGTGTGTGTGTGTGTCACATGTGTGTGTGTGTGTGTGTGTGTGTGTGTGTGTCACATTGGTCCTACAGCTTGAACTCAGGGCCTAACAACTCTCTCTTAACTTCTTTTTGTTCAAAGCTAGCACTTTACTACTTGAGTCATAGCTCCATTTCTGGCTTTTTTGGTAGTTTAGTGGAGATAAGTCTCATAAACTTTCCTGCCTGGGCTGGCTTTGAGCAGCAATCCTCAGATAGTAGCCTCCTGAGTACTTAGGATTACAGGCACAAGCCATAGGCACCCAGCTTATAGTAGCTACTTTTAAACATCTTCCAGTGTCTCATTTTGTTTCTTCTCTATCCTTCTGTTTTCAATCTTAGCACAGGGGCAGTCCTGTGGCTTGAACTCAAGGCCTGGGTGCTGTGCCTGAGATTTTTTGCTCAAGGCTAGCAGCACAATAACAATTGAGCTACAGCTCTACTTCCACCTTATTTTGTGCTTAATTGGAGGTAAGAGTCTCACAGACTTTCCTGCCCAGGTTGACTTTCAACTACAATTGTCAGATCTCAGCCTCTTGAGTAGCTAGGTGTAAGCCACCAGCACCTGGCTTATTTTACTTTTAATGAAGATTTAAAATAGTGCTATAAAAATTCATGAAACCCTTATCTTTTGGGCATTCTTCTAGGCATCAAGGATAAAGTTATGAAAATCCAGACCTAGGCCCCACCCTTACAGTTCTGTATACTAATCAAAAGAAAGGAGGGGCACTTGGCATGAGTTAATACATGGAAAAAGATTCTACTACTTTAATAATTAATTATTTACAAAGGTGATAAGCATTATTTTTTAAAAATCTGACTTGGTCTACAATATTCAAAGGGATATCCCTGGAGAAGCAATATGGAAGCTAGGACCTAAAGGCTGTCTGCCTCCACCTGCATGCCAAAAGCAGAAGTGGAATGAGGGATGTATCAGGCAGAAGAAAGTAAGGATGAAAGACCTATAGTGGGGAAAGGCTTGAAGTGTTTAAAAGATAGAACAAGA